GTGCGAGTCGTTCGGGCCCCTCGTAGTAGGAGTAGTAGTAGTAGTAGTAGTAGTAGTAGTAGTAGTAGTAGTAGTGTAGTAGGTAGTTAGGTGTGTGGTGGTGGTGGTGGTGGTGGTGGTAGTAGTAGTAGTAGTGTAGTAGTAGTAGTAGTAGTAGTAGTAGTCGTAGTGTAGTAGTAGTAGTCGTAGTAGTAGTAGTAGTAGTAGTAGTAGTAGTAGTAGTAGTAGTAGTAGTAGTAGTAGTAGTATTATAGTCGTAGTGGGTAGTAGTAGTATAAGTAGTCGTAGATGTATTGTAGTACTAGTACTAGTCGTTCCTGTCGTCGTTAGTATTAGTAGTGAAGTAGTAGTATTAGTAGTAGTAGTATTAGTCTAGTAGTAATAAGTACTTAAGTAGTATTAGTAGTAGCAGTAGTAGTAGTAGTAGCAGCAGCAGTAGTAGTAAGTAGTAGTAGTAGTAGTAGTAGTAGTAGTAGTAGTAGTAGTAGTAGTAGTAGTAGTAGTAGTCGTAGTCGTGTCGTAGTTTTGTAGTAGTAGTAGTAGTAGTAGTAGTAGTTAGTAGTAGTAGTAGTAGTAGTAGTAGTAGTAGTAGTAGTAGTAGTAGTAGTAGAAGTAGCAGCAGCAGCAGCAGCAGCAGCAGCAGCAGCAGCAGCAGCAGCAGCAGTAGTAGTAGTAGTAGTAGTAGTAGTAGTAGTAGTAGTAGTAGTAGTAGTAGTAGTAGTAGTAGTAGTAGTAGTAGATGTCTTTTGGGAGCCTCTTGGAGTCCTTTTGGGGCGTCTTGGGGGCCTCTTGGCGGCCCCAGGGGCTTCTAGGAGCGTCTCGGGTGCCTTGGGGGAGCCTCTTTGGGCCTCTTGGGAGCCTCTTGGAGGCCGTTTGGGGCGTCTTGGGGGCCTCTTGGCGGCTCCAGGGGCTTCCAGGAGCGTCTTGGGTGCCTCGGGGGGGCCTCTTGGGGCCTATTGGGGGCCTCTTGGGGGCATCTTGGGGGCCTCTTGGAGGCCTCTTGGGGCCTCTTGGGGCCTCTTGGGGCTCTTTGGGAGGGGTCTGGGAGGTATCTTGGGGCCATCTTTGGGGCGATCGATCACAGATGGGGCGAGCATTTTTGTCAGTACCCCCGTCGGGGCCAGAATCCTCGTGAGGGGTGTCGAATTTTAGCCCTCCCAGGGATAGAAAAAGGACCCTCTGACCACCCGCGAAACCCCTTCTCCAGGTCCAGGGGGAGGGGGTAGGGGGAGGGGTAAACCCCTCCCCGAAGGGGAAGAAGGGGGGTTGAGAACAGAGAGAGAGCTCGCTAAACCACTCACGCCCAAAGGGTGACTCTTGGGGCCCTCTTGGGGGCATCTTGGGGGCCTCTTGGAGGCCTCTTGGGGCCTCTTGGGGCTCTTTGGGAGGAGTCTGGGAGGTATCTTGAGGCCATCTTTGGGGCGATCGATCACAGATGGGGCGAGCATTTTTGTCAGTACCCCCGTCGGGGCCAGACTCCTCGTGAGGGGGGTCGAATTTTAGCCCTCCCAGGGATAGAAAAAGGACCCTCTGACCACCCGCGAAACCCCATCTCCAGGTCCAGGGGGAGGGGGTAGGGGGAGGGGTAAACCCCTCCCCGAAGCGGAAGAAGGGGGGTTGAGAACAGAGAGAGCTCGCTAAACCACTCACGCCCAAAGGGTGACTCTTGGGGCCCTCTTGGGGGCATCTTGGGGGCCTCTTGGAGGCCTCTTGGGGCCTCTTGGGGCTCTTTGGGGGGAGTCTGGGAGGTATCTTGGGGCCATATTTGGGGCGATCGATCACAGCTGGGGCGAGCAGTTTTGTCAGTACCCCCGTCGGGGCCAGAATCCTCGTGAGTATCGATCGCCCCAAAGATGGCCCCAAGATACCTCCCAGACCCCCCCCCAAAGAGCCCCAAGAGGCCCCAAGAGGCCTCCAAGAGGCCCCCAAGGTGCCCCCAAGAGGCACCCAAGAGGCCCCGAGAGGCTCCCCCGAGGCACCCAAGACGCTCCTGGAAGCCCCTGGGGCCGCCAAGAGGCCCCCAAGACGTCCCAAACGGCCTCCAAGAGGCTCCCAAGAGGCCCAAAGAGGCTCCCCCAAGGCACCCAAGACGCTCCTAGAAGCCCCTGGGGCCGCCAAGGGGCACCCAAGACGCCCCACAAGGTCTCCAAGAGACTCCCAAAAGACATCTACTACTACTACTACTACTACTACTACTACTACTACTACTACTACTACTACTACTCCTGCTGCTGCTGCTGCTGCTACTACTACTACTACTACTACTGCTACTACTGCTACTACTACTACTGCTACTACTACTACTTACTACTACTACTACTATACTACCTACGTCTACTACTACTACTACTACTGCTAACTACGACTACTACGACTACTACGACGACTACTACTACTACCTACTACTACTACTACTATTGTTACTACTACTACTACTACTACTACTACTACTACTACTACTACTACTACTACTACTACTACTACTACTACTACTACTACTACTACTGCTACTACTACTTTACTACTACTACTACTACTACTACTACTACTACTACTACTACTACTACTACTACTACTACTACTACTACTACTACTACTACTACTACTACTACTACTACTACTACTACTACTACTACTACTACTACTACTACTACTACTACTACTACTACTACTACTACTACTACTACTACTACTACTACTACTACTACTACTACTACTACTACTACTACTACTACTACTACTACTACTACTACTACTACTACTACGAGGGGCCCGAACGACTTGCACCAGGACGAGGTGCCCGAACGCCTCACGCAACGAGGAGCCCGAACGACTCACACCAGGACGAGGGGCCCGAACGACTCACACCACGAAGAGCCCGAACGACTCACACCAGAAGGAGGGGCCCGAACGACTCACACCAGGACGAGGCGCCCGAACGACTCACACCACGAGGAGCCCGAACGACTCACACCACGACGAGGGCCCCGAACGACTCACACCACGAGGAGCCCGAACGAGTCACACCAGGAGGAGGGGCCCGAACGACTCACACCAGGACGAGGGGCCCGAACAACTCACACCACGAGAAGCCCGAACGACTCACACCAGGACGAAGAGCCCGAACGACTCACACCACGAAGAGCCCGAACGACTCACACCAGGAAGAAGGGCCCGAACGACTCACACCAGGACGAGAAACCCCAAACGACTCAAACCACGAGGAGCGTTGTCTCTCCCTCCTCCTCCGCCTCGTCCTTCTCCCGCTCCCACCACATGGAGGATGTACAAGGAGGCGGGAGGAAGGAGGAACAGGGGAGATATGCGGGGGCAGGCGGAAACACGCCTGAAAACCACGACTGTCGGCATGCTTCGCAAGAGTTGTTGTTTTGAGATGGGCTGGTGGGGATACGCGAAGCGTGAAGAATTTTAGCCCTCCCAAGGATAGAAAAAAGGACCCTCTGACCACCCGCGAAACCCCCTCTCCAGGTCCAGGGGGAGGTGGTAGGGGGAGGGGTAAACCCCTCCCCGAAGGGGAAGAAGGGGGGTTGAGAACAAAGAGAGCTCGCTAAACCACTCACGCCCAAAGGGCTGGTGGGATTCCATTGTGGGAAGTGACCCGTTGAACGGCAATCCTTCGAGAATCCCAAATCTTGCCCAACACACCGCGCATGAGATGCCAGCGCCGCGAATGAATGGGACTGCTGCGTTTTGACAATGCTAAAACTTGACAGACCATGGTTCCTGGATCGACACCCCCACGAATTCTGGAAGCTGCTGCAGAAATAGATTGAACATGTGCGGCGCGCCACGGCGAGCGCCACATCTCGTGAAGCAGCCGCCCTCCATCCTTGCACTTGCTGCAAGCATGTAAGACGGACGCTCGCGTCGCAAAGGCGAGAGCTAAACGTTGAACAGCATCCGCTTTCCGTCTTCTCTGCTTCTGTTTCAAGCTCCCCAGATCAATGTGTACGGCTTCACGGTGATAGCCACATATTTACCACTGGCCGCCCCCCATGTTTTTCAAGGCTGCGATCTGCTAAAGCAACTGTGCGCGGCGCTAAGGCGACAGCCACCGGTTGGAGGCCAGCGCCCTCCATCGTTCAGGCTGCTATATAGTTCAAGCTTCAGGAAAACAGATGGTGGGGAAGTCTCGGGCGAAACGCCTGGCCCGCCCTGCTCACGCGTTTTTTTTGTGTGTTGTGTGTGTGTGTGCTTTTGTCGGGGAGGGGGGGGGGGCACAATACTGGGGTATTCGCAAGGAAGAGGGATGGAGGAGGAGGAGGAGGAGGGGCATAATGTGTATGACCAGGCGGGGCAAAGGATGAGGATGAGGGCGATCAAGAGGACGATGAGGGCAATGATGCGGAAGAATGGGACGTGAAAGGGGGATGGGGAGGGCAACGACATTAATGAGGAGAAGAGGGGAGGAGGAGCCAAGGGAGGAGAGAGGAGGAGTGGTGAGGGAGGAAGCGGAGAGGTTTGTATGGAGGAGGAGGGCGATCACGAGGAAGAAGACGACGGACAAGCGAAACCAGGAAGGTGATAAGGAGGGAGGAAGAGTAGGAAAGCGTATTAACTTTCCTCGTGTCTTCCTTGATTTCTTTCGTCGTTTGCGATATCTTTCTCCTCTTGCACCACTTTCTCCTCATCGTCCTTCCGCCGCTTCCGCCGCGCTCATAGTCCTCCTGATCATCCTCTTCCTCGTCCTTCCCATCTCACCACCGCCTCGACACTCCCACACAGCGTCCTCCCTCGACCCAGTCATCGTCTTCCCCCTCTTCAACTTTCCTCCTCCACGTCGTACTCCCTCCTGCATCACTCCTCCTTCCGCTTCGTATCCACCCTCGTCCTCCCCCTTTGCTTCCCCTCCTTCCCCCTTCCTTCCTTCCTCCCTCCCTCCCTCCCCCCTCCCGTCTCCGCCCTCCGCCTGCTCCCTCGTCGCTGACGTCCTCCTCCTTCCCCCGCGCCCGCGGGCGGGCAGAAGACGCCGCCGACAGGAAGCTGCTGCTGGCCTGGGCGGACCCCTTGGGCCAGTACCGGCTCCAGATGCTGCCCTACACTCCCGGCGTGAACCTGTCGGAGGAGGAGGACCGGGCCGGTTGGGCCGCGGGAGGGGGTCGGTGGAGCGGGGAGCGAGGAGGGGGGGGGGGCCTGCAGCCTCTCGCGCAGCATGTGCGCCGAACTGCCTCGGGGCCCCTGCAGATCCCCGAGAACCAACCGTGCAGGTGGTGGGCCGATGGTCCACCACCACCACCACAGGCAGGGGAGGGAGGAGGAGGAGGAGGAGGAGGAGGAGGAGGAGGAGGAGGAGGAGGAGGAGGAGGAGGAGGAGGAGGAGGAGGAGAAGGACCTCCCCATCCTCCCTTCTCCCCCGTCCCACCTATGGTAGTGTTGGTGGAACACTGGCCCATCAGCAAGTGGGCCGGGGCCTTTGGCCAACGACCAGGGCAGCGATCGAGCGTTGGCGCGCTCTACCAGGCAGTGCTGCGTGGCTCCCCACAGCGCTGGGCGCTCTGCTCCGCAAGCCACTCGGGGTCGGGTCCTCGGGCGGAGGGTCTGAGGGGGGAGCAGCAGCCGCAGGAGGCTCCGCAGGACCTTGCTACACATAGCATCACTGCCCACCAAGCCACCCCAACCCAACCCGACGGCCTCCGTTTTGCCTTCCATTTCCAGTGGGGAGGGTGTCGGGGAACAGTGAAAAAGCACGAGTGGAACCCGTCCCCCCCCCCAACCCGAAATTCGGGTCTTCGGGTTAGTCATAGCAGCCATCTGTGGCTCGGGGCGTATCAGTGTGGCAGGCAAGGCAAACTGGCGCCACGTCCTGCACTGAGCTGGGACCTCCTCAGCAACCAGATCTGTTAGGCAATCCCCCACGAAGGCTTTCTCAAGAAAGGTTGCTCTTGCGCTGCCGCGGCGAGTTCGGCCCCCCCGTCATTTGACACGCAAGCTTGTCCATCCAGAGATCTCTTTCGATCCACGGCGCACGATTTGCGTGGCTCGGCTCCTTGGGAAAAGCATCGGCCGTTCCGTTGCCAGTCTTATCAAAATCTGGTATGAGATCATTGCGTACGTTACTCGCTGACGAGTGTGCCTTCATTTGCTCGAAGTGTCGGGCCGCACAGCCCTTCATCCTGCGCGCCTGCTTCCAGACATGTGCGCGGGTGTTGCTTTGGCTCTGGGCCTTAGCTAACGAAAGGAAGCAGCCGAGGGTCCCAATGTGATTCTCGCGGACAGTAAGCCCCCCTAGGACGTGCTGCGAGCACACATGCATCGCACAGTCTTCGCCGTCTCGGGTCGTGCCTGAGATCGCGAACTCGGGAGCGCGGGGGTATCCGACCATACAGGACACCCGCAAACCTCCGAGAGCCGTCAACACGCACAATCGCCCAGCCTGCCCACTCCGTGAGACGGATGAAGCTGGACCCTGACCAGATTCGTCAGTGAAGGCAAGGCACTCTTCGAAAAGGAGGGGAAGCTGAAGTCCCGTTGAAACCCTTCGCCTCTACCTCGGGTCGAATGGCTTCCTCGACACACAGACACACACACCACACACACACACACGCCCACACACACAGACACACACAGACACACACAGACACACACAGACACACACACACACACACGCACACACACACACACACACGCCCACGCCCACGCCCACGCCCACGCCCACGCACACGCACACGCACACGCACACGCACACGCACACGCACACGCACACGCACACGCACACGCACACGCACACGCACACGCACACGCACACGCACACGCACACGCACACGCACACGCACACGCACACGCACACGCACACGCACACGCACACGCACACGCACACGCACACACACACCACACACACACACACACACACACACACACACACACACACACAC